GGGGGGGATGTATGCGTCTTACAGGGAGTATGGGATGTATGCGTATTACCCTTCTTCTTTAAGGGTTCATGGTTTGTTGAGGGTTTTTTCTTATGTGACTTGTCACTTTAAAAGAACTGCTGCAGGTATAAAGTCCTAGAGGTGCCTTTTACACACCTGCAGTGGCCACCAATACGTTGCTATTTTGGCTTAATGCGTTCTATCAGGCAAAATGTGGTCACTTCATCATAGAAATTAAGCTTGCCTGCCCCTTCCTGCCCTCCTGCACATTCCTATTGACCAGTGAGGCAGTCTATCACGTTGATGGTTCAATAGGAATATGTGAAAAAGTGGGAAGCTCCAGCACTAGTGTTACATGTCAGAACGTCCCAGAATTAAGCCGCGACAGCAGATTATTAATGTTTATTCCCAGTAAATGGTAGAAATAAAAAACATACATCAGGGAGAGCATAGTAAATTGGTATTAAACCCTACCTGAATGACATTTGGTTTTTAAAGCACCCTGTACTATAGATCATTGCCATTATTTTTGTTTAATAAAATACTTGTTTTCATCTTTTGTTCATCCTTTTTGTATCTCGGTGCTGCTGAACTCCAGCTGCCTCTTTGCAGTCATTTCCTGTCTACATGAACTCCAGCTACCACTACATTTCTCAGGTCAGGTTTCCTAATGGTGATAACATTGGACCGTGACTATGTAGGATGTGTTGCAATGGCCACTGGTAGTCTCTCATGGAAGCCATTGGGACAGGGTGACAACACAGGATCACATCAGGGAGCGTTGTCGCGCTATAACTGAGAGTGCCTTACCAAAGACCTTCATGGCAGGATCACCAGGGATCATTTCAATGAAAGCCATGGATTTTAAGATCTTGAAAAATACTTTTGAAGTGACATTAATATTTTACAGCGCATATTGATTGGATTGATATCTACTTAATGCTGCTGCAGATCGGGGAATTTAGTGTTAGAGATCTCACCACTGGTGTAAGGAAACAGTTATGTGATTTAAAGAGACCATGTCACCAGTCCATTAATTTCAACAAAAATCTTCCTATAGATTATACATGCATTTTAATGTGTTGTATTCATGTTATTTACCTGTAAAAGCCTCCCTTGTGCAGACATCCAAAGGCCCTGGGACTGCTGCGGTGTGCCGCCATCTTGACCTTAGCCCCAGTAGAGTCAGAGCTATCACTCAAGTGACACTCTAGAGCAGGGGTGGTCAACTCCGGTTCTCCAGCAGTGAGGCATTGCAAGTCATTGCATGAGGCATTGCAAGACAGCCACAGGCATGACTCCCAGAGGCTGATGCATCATGTGATTTGTAGTTAAAGCATAGCTGGAGGACCGGAATTGCCCACCCCTGCTTTAGAGCAATGGTTCCCAACCTGGGGTATGTGCCAGGATGTTGAGAGGTAGGAAAAAAAATTAAAATATGGTGCAAGAGGCAGTGGGCTACCCCCTAGGTACCTCACTGCCTCTTCCACCATATTTAATTTTTTTTTAAATATGCAGCCTGCATCGCGAAACACCTTCAGGGGGTGCCCAATAGTAATGGACTCGGGCGTGTTCGCAGGTCCACGTGTCGAGCCCGCCAGGAAGCTGACAGCGCCAATCACAGGTACTGAGACATTATCCCGGTCCGCAGCTGCAGAGATCGGGAAATGTCTCCGTGCCTGTGATTGGCGCTGCGGCGCTGTCAGCTTCCTGGCGGGCTCGGCACGTGGAGCTGCAAACCCAAATTGAAAAAACATTTCTGTGACTAAAATAAAATGTTGCTTGATTGCTAAGTGACACCAAGCAGTGCCAACACAGGCCTAGGTGGGGAGGTGTGCAGAGATCTGATGTCGCCCTCCTCCTGCTCACTGACCCCTATCACTGCATGCCGCCACGCCACACATGATGCAGGTGCCACCTCTCCCCTTGTGTGCGCAGCAGCAGCCCACCCTAGATGCAGCAGCCATATTGTGCACTGCAGCACTCTACACAACAAACCAACGCTGTAGGAAACAGGGGGTGCCTGGGAAGAGGAACCTCATGGTGCTTGAGTGCCCACTGCCTCCAGTGTGACCATAAGGTAGCAGTGTGGGGATGAATTGTTTGAGAATGTGATGGTTGAGTGATTAGGATGAGGTGGGATAGGCTTCCCTGAAGAGATGAGTGGTTAGCTTAAGGTTGTGAATTTATGGAAATGGACTACCCACTTGTTCTAACGCATTCCCCTTTATTGCATCCTGGCAGCTGCATTTAAAGGTTATGTTGGGGTGGATGTGTAGGGGGGCATGGGAGCTGAGCCAGGATGGAGAGTAATTAGATATTCCAATAAGAAGAGAGGGCTATGATAGAAGGGAGAGGGTGTGCTAGAGAATTGACTTTCCTTGAGTAGTCATATTTTCTAGCACATGTAATGTAATAAAAACCCAAAACACTGCAACATTGCAAGTAAGTCTTTAAAATACTTTATTTTCTTTGCTTTTACCTGCGTTGAGTTTGTGACAGGTGCTCTTTAAAGGAGAAGCATGCTGTCAGAGCACATATTGTTTTCTGTTCTCCTCCCCCAGCACTTTAAATATAGGTCATACTACATAAGGCCCGTCTCCTCTGAGATCTTTGCTGTGCTCCCATCGCAGCACCATACTGCGTGTGGCTGTAATCTTCAGCGCCGTACCGGAACATCGGTGAGCTGACCCCATAGTGAGCTCTCTGCTCTATAGATGGGTCACATTTGTCCCATCTGCAGCTCTTCCCCTTTTATTGTGATGCACACACTTAGAAGCGTCACTCATTTGACTGTATTTAAAAACCAGACTGGATATTGATTGAATTAGCGGTACGGTGATCAGTACTTCCCTTTGGATAAATGTTTATCAGAAGGCGTTCTTCACACTACATTGATCCTCTTTTTGTGAAATTAACAGCGAATAATAGAAGCTGCAAGCTGCGATATTGCTGTGCATGAGTTATGTAATCAAACAAACGTTCGCGGCAGAACCCATGAGAGCGCGGAGAAAGCCTCTATTTTTTTCCCCTCATAGTAACAATTTCGCATTCTAAAGCCTGAAAGTTGTAAGGAGGAAAGCTGGCAGATGTGCCACCAGTAAAAGTGATGGAATGGCGTCACTTGGTGACAGATGGAGGGGATATTACACTGAGCATGCAGCAGCCGATAGCGTGTGCAATTGGTAACAGATGGAAAGCAATCTTGCATGGAATACTGACAGGGTAAGGCGGGTGTCGGGGGGCTGGGGCGGGGGGATGCTGAATTTATACACAGGATACATTAAAGTTGTATTCTTATCATACCAGATCTCCATACTCATTTGGTTCAGTTATTGCCCATTGTTTATAACCGTAGGTGAAGACAGGGCAGCACAGCCCCTCAATGGTTAGCACTTCTGCTTTGTAGCACTGGGGTCCTTGGTACTAATCCCAGCCAGGACACTATCTGCATGGAGTTTGCATGTTCTTCTTATGGGTTTCCTCCGGGTATTCCAGGTTCCTCCCACTTGCTAAAGATATGCTGGCTTGTTAACTGGCTCCTGTATAAATTGCCCCCAGTACGTATGTGTGCATGCATATGAGATGAGGACTTTAGATTGCAAGCTCTTTGATGTGAATGTACAGTGTGTAAAGCGCTGAGTAAACTGACGGTGCTCTATATAGATGTAGTAATAATAATAATAAGACTGGGATGTAGATCATTTAGTAAGATACCAGTCTTGTCTACAAGAAAATAACCTTGTACTTTTTGCTTGGGATGCATCGATACCGAGTATTTGGGCGAGCACTCGTAATACCTTCCCCGTTACCGGAACTTACGGTCAGAGAGAAATTTCCTCTGACCGGCAGTGCCGCGACCGAACGTGGAGCCGGCTTCCCTGCCAATCAGTAAGCCGGCTGGTAGTGACTTGCCTCTTGACTTCCTGATTGGCCGGAAGCCGGCTCCATGCTGTTTGGCTGGCTCTATGCTGATTGGCCAGGAAGCTGACACGCCGCCCGACTTCCTGATTGTGGAAGTATCGGTACTCTGTATCGGAGTACCAAAATATTAATATTAGTGATGCACCGATACCGATACTAGTACGAGTGCTCCGATACCTGAACTTCCGGTATCAAGAAGCTAGGTGCCATGGTTACCGATTGGCCAAGAAGCCGGATCCATGCTCCCTCCTCACTTGGTGACGAGGGAGCATGGAGCCGGCTCCCTAGCCATTTAGGAAGCTGGGCAGCCTTTTAATGACGAGTGGCCCGGATTCCTGATTGGTCGGAAGCTGGACAATCAGGAAGCCAGGCGCCGTGTAATGACGCTGCGCCCGGCTTTCTGATTAGTCGTGAAGCCGGCTTCATGCTCTCTTGTCACCTCACGACGAGGGAGCATGGAGCCGGCTTCCCGGCCAATCAGGAAGCTGGGCGCAGCGTCATTACACAGCGCTTTGCTTCATGAATGGCCAGAAAGCCGGCTCCATGCTTTCTCGTCACCTAGTGCCAAGAAGCATGGGGACACCTTCCCTGCTAATCGAGAAGCCGGGTGGCGAGTCTTTACACGCCACCTGGCTACCTGAATGGGACTTCCGGTACTCGGTATTCGGTATCGGCGAGTACCGGAAAAAAACTATTGGTACTCGATACAGAGATGCTGGTATCGGTGCATCCCTAGTGACAACGTTGCTGCTCTATTGAGTACGATGAGCGAGCGTTGTCACCCTAGTCCAGGAAGTGTGTTACTGGCAGGATCACCAGGTAAAGAAAAGCTTGATTAGGGCAAGTAATATAAGTGTAGGCCGGCAAATGTGAAATAATCCAAGGCTCGTTACTTAGATTCTACTTTGACTGGTTCTCTTTACGCTGTACTTGTAGGTGCATTGACTTCCTTTCTAGTATTGGTTCTGGCCTGCAAAAAAAAAGCTATGGGCCCCTTGCATGCTATTCAGCAAGCTGAGTGCCTTTCGGGTAAACCATGTTTCCATTTGAGTGTCTGGCCCCTGAGGGGAACCAGGGACATAAAGCATTATTGTGCCCCCATTGTCTGTCCTCTTCTGAGTAGGGCTGAAATAAGCAAAGCGGGAGACACAAACATTGTAAATTATTCATGCTAATTATCGTAACCTTAGATTGGACCTTTTATCCAAACGGCCATCTGAGTTCTATCTATTCAATGACTTCATTTTCCAAATGCGCTTCTCCCATCGTGCGTATGCGCGGGACAAAAGAGATCGGATCTGGGATCAGCCGGCGTGATTAAGTGTATTTGATCTCATGAATGATGCAGTGCATCATCATCCCAGCAAAATCTCCTTTGCGTGAGCCTGTCACAGACTGGGTAGAATCCGTATGGAAGAAGAATGGAGCTCCTTAGGCTGGGTTCACACCTAGGTGTATCGGAAATGCGCGTTTGCCGCGCGTTTCGTACTGCGCGTTTTTACCGCGATTTGCGGTAAAAGAAACGCGCGACAAACGCTAATGGATACAGCCGGATACGCGCGTAAATACGTCCCAAAGAAGCTCCTGTACTTCTTTGGGCGTAGGGCGTTTGTCTGCACGTTCCTATGGCATTTCCCTGTTTGAGCGTTTTTCCGTGCGTAGGAACAACGCCCAGGTGTGAACCAGGCCTTATTGTATAGGAGTCCAAAACCATCATATTTGTTTCTTCATATCGTTCAAACCAACGCATTTTGGGGGACTTCACATACCACCTTCGTCAGGGCTTGAACAGTCAATGATGGTGGAGAAAAGGAAAGAAGGGACTTTCATGAAATGGAAGGAAAGTTTATAATGGCACGTTTCAGCACCTTGCAGCCTTTTCCACTATTTAAAGCGGACCTTTACACTCAAAAATCACATTCCACCAATGCATCCCTCTATGTATGATGATTAATAATACAATAGACACGTCAGGTGTAAAATGCTGTGATTGTGGAATACTTACACTTGCAGAGCGTTCACTTCCTGCTTTGAAAGGGAAAAATGACTTCAGTTTGCCAAAGCAATGCACCCTGGGATTGCCTTGTCATCAGCAGAGCAATGCTGGGAAATCTCATCTGGAATCTCAGGAGATCTCAGGGAAAGGCAATTTCCTCCCCTGATATGATGTGCATGGTCCCATGTCTTAGTCACCTGTAAAAGAATTCCAGGAAGTAAAGGTAGATAAGGTAGGTAAAGTAATCTACCCTTAAAGTATAAATGGCCGCTGTGAGAAGAATAGGGAGGAAAAGAATGTGCCAGAAATCCAGGAAGTAAAAGGAGAGCTGGTAATCTGCCCTTGGTAAACATGGCCACTGTCAGAAGACTGGGGAAGAAAAGAGAAATAAGGAATGCAAAGAATTAGGGATGTCCCGATATCACTTTTTCAAGACCAAGTACAAGTACAAGTACTGCCCCTCAGGTACTTGCCCTGTATCGTGCCTGATACCGATACTAGCATCGGTATCGGGACATCCCTACAAAGAATACAAAGCCGGCAATAATCTAGAAGTATGTGTTTGTAGATTGTCATCACTAAGCATTTCTAAAGGTGTGTTTGCTGTTATTTTAAAGATATGGGTAAAAGTCCGCTTTAAGCCCTAATGAAGGCGGCATGTAAAGACCCCTGAAACGCGTTGGTTTAAATGATATGAGGATTTGACCTGAAGCGCCCCCCCATCATTGTGGCCTTGTCATGAATTTGAAGCTGCCCCACCAGGGATATTGTACCCCCCCCCCCTCATAGATGTTCTGTATTAAAGAGGAACTTTACACATTGTTTTGGATGCAACGTCTTCCACCTACAAGATCACAAACCTGGGTAACTCAGATTTCGGTTTAGTTTAGGAAGAAAAATTATATAGGCAGAGACCACCTTCAATCAAAACTGAAGGTCTAGGGCAAGGGAAGGCAAACCCCGGACCTCCAGCTGTGGTGCTACTACAAATCCCATGAGGCATTCCAAGACTCTGACCGCCACAGGCATGACTCCTATAGATGAATAATGGGATTTATAGCTGAAGGGCCAGAGTTTGCCTCCCCCTGATCAACGGATCTAGTTGTATACACCTTCTGACATGTCTTGGGAAAGTTGAGCTGGACTTCATGTATCCCAAGACTCCCTACTGGTCCTTTAATATGATGGGCATGGTTACCAACAAGTAGAGGGGCTTGGGGAGTGGTACAACTTCATCTTTTACACAGAAAAGCTGGGCTTGGCATGTAACTGCTGGCGGTATTTCTGGATCTATTAAAGGAGAACTATGAGGTGAGTGCTTTTCACTCACCTCATAGTTCTAGCCGACCTGTGACAATGAGACTGTCACAGGTCGGCTCAGTAGATCGGGAGGTGAGAGAACACATACCGGCGCTCGCTCACCTCTCGATCCTGTCACGGCTCTCTGCCATGACAGGGGAGGGGCTGGATTCTCCCCTCCCTGCTCCGATCCGCCAGCGCTGACTGGTGGATCGGACGGGGGAGGGGGCGGGTACAGCTGGCTCTGCCTCTAGATAGGCAGTGCCAGCTGTCAGTCACGCAGCTATACTGAGCCTAGGGTGACGGGAGGCCGCTAGTTTGTCTCCTCCCGTTACCCTAAGGAGAACTATAGGGAAAAGACTTAACCCCATAGTTCTCGTTTAATCTCTTTCACATGGTTAATAGTCATATTATCAATATTTAAAAATTAATAAGATTCCTTCAACATGCTGGGCAGTTGGTTCAAATTTCAATACATTTTAGTATACCATGAGCTGCATTGTAGAATGCATTAGTTACTTTGTAATTCAATGTAATAATCCCATTGGTTTTGTTCTTCCCTTTCCCTTGCAGACGTTGTATACAGATTATACACAAGCTTCTTTGTTATCAGAAGAAGTGCAGAGTACGACTTCACTATACATGGAGAGAGCTGTGGTCAGGTACGTTGCAAAGTGTAATCTCTATTGCACTCCATTGCCCAGTGGAAGCATTGGCTAATGAGTCAGCGAGGACCAACTGTCTGTAATGTAGTAACAAGGCAAATATCCATCCATCCAGCTCTGCCGTGCGCAACCTTTTTACTCTGTAAGAACCCTTGAATGAATTCCCCATTCTCAGGGAACCCCTGCTAAATATTATTAGATCTACTGCTTGCATGAGCGGTAAGTTGCAGATATAGCCCTCTTGCATTCACCGCAGAGCTGTTACCCTATCTAGGGGCATCCTGATAGGCACGGAGGAGGAGGCTTATCAATGCTGATGACCCTCTTAGCCAATCAGAGCAAGACATACACGGATCAGCCATAAAAAAATATGACCAGCCACCTAATATTGTGTATGGACTCCACTAGACCTCTGAAGGTATGCTGTGGTATCTGGCATCAAGTCGTCAGTAGCAGATCCTTTATGTCCTGTAACATGCGACGTGTGGCTTCCTTCACTTTCCACCTGCATCGGTGAGCCTTGGGCACCCATGACCTGGTCGATGGTTCACCAGTTTTCCTTCCTTGGGCCACTGCAGACCGGGAACATCCCACAACAGCTGCAGTTTTGGAGTTGCTCCGACCCAGTCGTCTCGTTATCACAAGTTGGCCCTTGTCAAAGTCGATCAAATCCTTACGGTTGCCCATTTTTTCTGCTTCCTACACATCAACTTCAGGGACAAAATGTTCACTTACTGCCTAATATATCCCCCCTACTTCCAGGTGCCATTGATATATTTCCCCCTACTTCCAGGTTCCATTGTAATATATCCCCCCACTTCCAGGTTCCATTGCAATATATCCCCCCACTTCCAGGTGCCATTGTATTATATCCCTCCCACTTCCAGGTGCCATTGTAATATATCGCTTCCACTTCCAGGTGCCATTGTAATATATCCCTCCCACTTCCAGGTGTCATTGTAATATATCCCCCTCACTTCCGGGTGTCATTGCAATATATCCCTCCCACTTCCAGGTGCCATTGTAATATATCCCTCCCACTTCCAGGTGCCATTGTAATATATCCCTCCCACTTCCAGGTGCCATTGTAATATATCCCTCCCACTTCCAGGTGCCATTGTAATATATCCCCCCACTTCCAGGCGCCATTGTAATATATCCCTCCCACTTCCAGGTGCCATTGTAATGAGACTTTAGTGTTATTCACTCCACCTGTCAGTGGTCATAATGTTACGGCTGATTGGTGTATATTCAATTGGAAGAGCAATCCAAGATGGCACCCTGCATCTAATAGAAATGACAAGGGGTGCCCTCTTGGACCCCCTTCCCAGAATAAGAGGATCACAGGGCTCCTAGAGAAAGTTATGGAAAATATGAAAATGCTACGGGGGTGGTTCTTCAGACAATCAAAAAAAGCTCAGTTTTCTATTTGGCTGATGATAATACCCTTACTGGGTTAGAGTAGTGATGTTCTAAATTCATATAATCAGTGCAGTCCGCCTCCTCCCAACCTGATTACACTGGTAGATTGTGCTCTAGACTCTCCGGTACTCTTCAATCTCGGCAATCAGCCCGTTTCACTAATTACATCTATCTGAGACAATCAGCTACCACGAGCCATATGTTCTCTGCAGCAAAACACTCCATCTGAATGCAATGCACCAGCACACGGCGGGCAGTGGAACAAATGTGGAGTTCATCGCAACCAGTCGGGTTCCATTTACCGTTTTTAAATGGAAAAACAACCAAGAAATATGATTGGTTGCCACAGACAGCAGTTTTTATTTGGTCCGATCACTTTTTGCTCTGGTTTCCTAAAAGAAAGACTGGAGCCAAGAAAAAAAATGACCACCTGTGGATAACATCAGATTTTTAAGCCGTGTCTTCTACTGCACTTGGGTGATGGAATGGGAATTCTGGTTGCAATGGGCAACACCTTGTTATCTGTTTCAGTCTTCCCAGATGGAAACGGCAGTCATTTTCATATCGGTGGTCAACTGCGTGTAGCAATGGCAAGCAATGGAAATGCAGGCGATTTTTACTTTGTCACGGTGGTGGACACAGAAGCAGAACATCCTACGCCCAGGCTAGCCCCACGCTCTGCCTGCCATGAGGAGTCTGTGGAGTAGTATGGCACAAATGCTGCATGCAACGCCTTGGCCAGCTTGAAGTGACTCAGAGCTTGGCAATTGTGGATAACTGTAGCTGCCAAACAGGGCAACTAGGGGGCCACTTGGTGGGCATCAAGGTCACCAGCCAAGTGCCACCTGGTGAAACTCAAGTAGAGAGATCCTTAACGAGTTACAAATGGCTGCTGATTCAACCATAAGACCATCTTTAAATCACTCCGTTGCTTCAGATCAGCAGTTAAAGGGTTTATAACCCGTAACAATGGACTACTCTTATTTGCTCCCATGCAGTCTGTTAAATATACCATTGACAGCCGTTTGTTATATCTTTTCAATGAGAGCAGCTGTTTATCCTGCCAAAAATCCAGTGAGCCCATAACTTCCTGTACTTCCTTGTGCCATCTTAAAGCTGAACTCCAGCCAAGAAGGAACGACGCTTGCTTACCTTGTCCAAAACGAGAGTTGTAAGACTTATTGTCCCAGCAACATCTCCCTTCTTAAGCCTGTGTAGGGCAGTTTCTGCATTCATGCCGCTTTGTTCTCCCTTATAGAGTTGAGGGTCCCAGTTGCCTTTACTTCTCTGTGTGGTTTAGAAAAGGTATAATTGACTTGCTTCCTTCTCCTCTGTGGACTACAGAACATATCCCCGCTGTGGTAAAGAGATGAGGAAAGGGCAGGGCAGCCATCAGAAATTTTGGGGCCCCTTACACGGCTTTAGTGACACTGTCGCTCTGATAAAGGATCCCTGTGCGGACCCGAAACGTTAGCACCGTATGACAGTATGTGACATTGGGTATTGAATAAACATATAAATACTTTAAAAACCCTTCAAGTGTGTGCCGGTGAATTACTTTTATTTTACTATGTGTTTTGCACGGCGCCATCCGTGTGGGCACCACATATACCTTGTGGTTTTGAGACCGTGGCAGTGCGAATGGGATTTGGACTTTGTTGTCTCTGAAGGGGTCTCAGGTTGGCTGGTCAGGGCTGCATCCCTCCCCTCCCTCCTTTCCTTCCTTGCTTCCTAGATCCTCTTACCTGCACATATGGCCTCGTCTACCGCCGGACCGGCCAGAAGTGACGTCACTTCCGGCCAGTCCGACATCAGATGAACAGCGTCGCTGATGGGGCCCCAGCTACAATGGAACCTAAGATTCAGTTGTTCATCAGTATTTTAAGGCACCCCCAAATCAGAGCACATTCTACAAGGAATACAGTATTTTTGGGGGGGGGGTTTACGGC